GGGAAGATGGATGGGGCCAAATACAGGACCATTCTGGAAGAAAACCTGTTTGAGTCTGCAAGAGACCTGAGACTGGGACAGAGATTTATCTTCCAACAAGACAATGATCCAAAACATAAAGCCAAATCTACAATGGAATGGTTCACAAATAAACATATCCAGGTGTTGGAATGGCCAAGTCAAAGTCCAGACCTGAATCCAATCGAGAATCTGTGGAAAGAGCTGAAGACTGCTGTTCACAAACGCTCTCCATCCAACCTCACTGAGCTCGAGCTGTTTTGCAAAGAAGAATGGGCAAGAATTTCAATCTCGATGTGCAAAACTAATAGAGACATACCCCAAGAGACTTGCAGCTGGAACTGCAGCAAGAGGCGGAGCTACAAAGTATTAACGCAAGGGGGACGAATAATATTGCACGCCCCACTTTTCAGTTTTTTATTTGTTAAAAAAGTTTGACACATCCAATAAATTGCATTCCACTTCACAATTGTGTCCCACTTGTTGGTGATTCTTCACAAAAATTAAAATTTTATATTTTTATGTTTGAAGCCTGAAATGTGTCAAAATGTTGCAAAGTTCAAGAGGGACGAATACTTTGGCAAGGCTAGAGAAAGTGAGCGTGTGATCGGAAGATCGCCGGTTCAAGCTCCGGTACCGACAACATCAAAAATGTGGGTGGGGTAGGTGAAGCACCCACACCTGCCCCCACCCTCTTTTGCCCCACTCTGGGCCCTTGAGCAAGGCCCTTAACCCCCACCATCTGCTCCTCCAGGTGTTCTAGATGGCAGCTCTCTGCTCCACACAGAGGCTGTGGTAGCTCGGTGTCTGTGGTTGCATCAGGAAGGACATCCGGCGTAAAAATAGCTGCCAAGTCTTCGTGCGACTTAGTTCACTGTGGCAACCCCTAACGCAGGGAGCAGCCAAAAGAAGAAGAAGAAAAAAATAATAATAAATAAATAAATAAATAAATATATATATATATATAAACCAGCCACCCCAATAATTTTAGGAAATGTTGCTTAGAAGTATAGTTTCATAATCTGTGATGGCCAAGGCTACCAGGTGGATGAAATTGCTCCCTCTACTCTCTAGAATCCGTCACTCTGCCTCAGACTAAGGGCTCAGCTGTTGAAGCCAGGCCAGCCTTAATTACCAAACTAGTTTCTATTTCAAATATAATAAAACTGATTTGATTAGTGTTAGTTGCTCTGGACTTTTGACCTCACCTAGAAATCCGATTTGGACCTTAGAATCTAAAGTTTAAGAACTCCAGCTTTAAACTGTTGACTGCGGGTAAGACATCGACTACTAATAACCAGTACAGTGATAGAAACACAATCTTTATATTTGTAGTGAACTAGGCCTCCGACCTCAACCTGTCTCTGAAGACCTTCAGGGGACAGGAACTGCTATTTCATTTATTTAAATCCAGAAATACAAATTATCTCATCAAGAGACTATTTAATTGTATCCTGAATTAATCAATTGAAAGAACACTCTTCCTTTTTACATTATCATTACTATTTTAGAATATCTTGATAATCAAATGTGTGTTTAGTTCATACCATTTCTAAATGTTGAAGTGAACCACTCATTTAAATAACTGTGAAACAGTATTAATGATTTTTAAACCTCAGCAGATTTTTGATCATACAGTTTAAATGTCTATTTACGAAGTAAGTGTGCATTTTAACTTTCTGTCTGAATGAGGAGTAGTGATGTCGGTCGAAAGTCAGAGACAAACAGAGACGAGTTATTAG